GGGTCGCCAGCCGGCACTGTCTGGCCGACGGCACCCTGAGGAGACCCACTCTATGGGAGCGTACCGGTCGATGGGAGGTACTCTGCGGCAGGAGGCGGTCTCGAAGATATCCGGGTCCGATGCCATGGAGCGCTTTAAAGATGATAGTCAACACCTTAAAGCGCACCCGGAAGGCCACAGGCAGCCAATGCAGCTCGCGTAGCAGCGGTGTCACGTGGGAACGCCGAGTCCCCCCCAACACCGCCCGCGCGGCCGCATTTTGGACCAGCTGGAGCCTCCGGGTGCTCCTCAAGGGGAGCCCCATGTAGAGAGCATTACAGTAGTCCAGGCGGGAAGTGACAAGTGCGTGAGTGACCGTGCGTAGGGCGTCCCGGTCCAGAAAAGGCCGCAACTGGTGAATCAGGCGTACCTGATAAAACGCCCCCCTGGTCACGGCCGACAACTGGTCTTCCAGCGTCAGCCGCGAATCCAGGAGGACGCCCAATGGGCTTCTTAATGTATGCAAACGTGGAAACCCAGAATTCAGTTGAATGTTGATTATTGTTCTATATACTGTACTACTACTGCAGCATTTCAGAGAAAGGTAACTATTTTTATTTAAGCAGCTCTTTGGACATTAGTTCAAATCACTGTTTTTCAAGCTTGGTTACCTCAAGATGCACAGACTTCAACTCCCAGAATTCCCCAGCCAGCATGCTAGTTCAGGAATTCTGGGAGTTGAAGTCCACACATCTTAAAGTGGTCAAGGTTGAAAAACGCTGATTTAAATTTACTTCTAAGTCTGAGTGTGGTGAAGGCTGGTCTTTCTAACAATAACACAAAGTTTTTGTTCATCTTCCAGGTTCTCCTGAGGCAAGGCTACGATGCTGCTTGTGATATCTGGAGCTTGGGTGTTCTCCTTTATACAATGCTGGCAGGGTGAGGCGCACCTTTCCCCAGTTAACATAGCTATGAATTTGCAGATGTTCAAAGCCGTGACTCTTCCGTTGATTTTATAGGATCAGCCCAGTGTATGAAATTTGTCCTAAACCAACGAGTTCCATATATGTTTCTAAAGTATTTATGCAAAAGAAACTAATATCCTTTTTTAAAAAACATTTTTAGGTACACCCCTTTTGCCAACGGGCCCAATGATACCCCCGAAGAAATCTTGTTACGGATCGGGAGTGGGAAATTTTCTTTAAGTGGAGGCAATTGGGACACTGTGTCGGATGCTGCAAAGGTATCAACATATATATATATATTAATTTTATACTTTATAAGATACAGGCAGCTGTGTAGATTCAGTTACAAGTGAACCGTTGGTTAAAAAGACTCCGCATTTAACATACTTCAATGCCGGGTTTCAGAAATAAGGAAAGACACTTTATGATTCTTCCAAGGAGATTTCTTTATTGTTCTTCACCTACAGATAGAATCTTAGTCAAACTACTGCAAGCTACCAGCCACAAGCAGTGGTGGGATTCAAATATGTGAACAACCGGTTCTCTGTGTGGATGCCGCTTCCGGAAGTCCATTCTGGGCCTGGGCAACAAAAAATTAGCTACTGGTTCTGCCGAAGTGGTGCGAACTGGCTGAATCCCACCACTGCCCTGGGAACTCTTAGGGATGAGCTGTCTTCACCCACTTTCTCTCACACAAACCATCTGAATTGAGTTGTCTCTTGCTTCTCTGGAATGCACCCCCTCCTGGGAATCCAGGCTATATTCCATCACATTATGTCAATGAAGACTCAATCATCCAGGCCAAAGGTGTCTAAAGGTTGAATCACAGTAACTGGACCAAAATTTGTTAAACTGAGACGTTTCATTTCCCATCCAGGAAGCTTCATCAGTCAAAATGAAAAAAAAAAAATAGGCAGAGGGTCAGAGTCATCGGAATGTACCAACTCTTGCCACACCAACTTCAGGGATGTCTCCCCAAAATGTATTGTTGCCAAGATTCAATCATAAATGTCAGTCAATCAATATGTCAGTCTTCACTGACATATTGCAATACGTTTTGGGGAGAAACCCTTGAAGTTGGTGTAGCAAGAGATGGTACATTCCAACCACTCTGATTTTCTGCCTATTTTTTTTAATTATTATTATTATTATTATTATTATTATTATTATTATTATTATTATTATTATTATTATTATTATTATTATTATTATTTTGACTGATGAAGCTTCCTGGATGGTCCAATTTTGGTCCAGTTGTCATGATTCAACCTTTTAGGTTCCATTCATATAAAATGGATAAAATTTATATGTAGACATTGCTTCCAAATAATAGACCAATTCTGTTGCATCCTGATATTTCATGCCATAGACACTAATAAAATAAATCACTTCACCTTCATAAGGATGCAAAAAGATGCAGTTATCATAAATTTGGATTTAATAGGCATTCATATGTAATGCCCATCCTCTTCTCCAAAATGTCTGTTAAATCATAGTTTGCACCATGAATGCATTTTTTGGGTAGTGATTAATAATATGAAACTTACCGCCATCTTTTAGAAATAATGTTAAAGCATTTTCTACAAATATTGGAAAATTATATGTTATCTTTGGTCCTTAAATCTTTTGTAAAATTTACTTAGCATGCATGTGCTAAAATTATTCAGTTTATTTTTAAAAAAACGTAAGCCAGAGTTTTTCCATACCTGAATCTCAGGCTGAATAAGTTTCGTTTGATTTATATTATGTGGATATTCCAATATATTATTTAAATTCTAACCATATATGTAGAGTGTGTCATTTTTCCTTGCAAATATGGTGCTTTTCCTGTTCTACCACTTCTAAAAACTAAACTAAAAGTACAGGTCTGCTACATGGTTTTGTATGAACAATAGGATTATTCAAACTGTTGTAATAGAAACGTCCAGTGAGATAATTCAGGGTGCATATTAATTTGACTTTGAGCTTTTCATTCATTTTTTAAATGAAAGTAGCATGCAAGTTATATCACTTTTCATTTATGGTAGCAAAAGGGAGAGTTACGATGAAGGCCCGTTGAGGATGAACTGTTTCTGGTCCGGAAGCATCCCATTTTAAGAAAGTCTGTCTTTTGGGGTCATCCATACCTCTACGCCACATCTTGGTTCCTCTTGAAATCAGGAACGGACCCTGAAATTTCACTGATGAACATATTCCTTACTGATATCTTTAGAATCCAGTAGCATAGAAACCTTGGGTGGAAGGATCACTGCTGTGATCCTGATCTGAGTGACAATATCAGAAAGGCCACGTTCAACTCTTTGTCACCTCCTCATCTCTACATTGTACTTATAACGCTTATTATCTGCTTCATCCAGGATTTGCTATCTCACATGCTACATGTGGATCCACATCAAAGATACACCGCAGAGCAAGTTCTGAAACATTCGTGGATAGCCTGTAGGGATCAGTTGCCACATTACCAGCTAAATAGGCAAGATGCACCCCATCTAGTGAAGGTAAAATTGGCAAAACTCATCACCGGGGTGGAGATCTGTCTCTTAATTACAGACGAGGATGGTGGGGTTGATTTGTCATTTAATGTGATTATGTTCCAGGGGGCCATGGCTGCGACATACTCTGCATTGAATAACCAGACATTTCAGCCAGTTTTGGAACCTGTTGCAGCTTCAAGTTTGGCTCAGCGGAGAAGCATGAAAAAACTAACATCCACAGACTTATAGGTCAGCTGGAACATTTAACCCACGTGGAACACAGGGGGAAAAAACTAATAAAAAAACCCCAAGAAGCAGCTCTGTATTTGCCTGCCCTGTGAATTAAAAGGCATATTCCAATTCCTCCTACATTTACTTGAATTCAGTGGAAGAAAGGACGAAAACACAACAAAACATAAACAAACACTTCTATCAGTTTAGAGGATTTATTGCTGTTAGTAGGTTGGTGTTAGTAGCATCAGGGTACTTTGCAACTGCGGTGAGGAGTTTATGGTACACATTTCATTTTGGAGATCGATTGCATTATGTTAATACTTTTAAATACTGTATAGTTTTCATCCGGTTTATAAAGATATGTATTAGTTGATCAGAGACGCTGCTCAAGTTGTAAATTTTAATTCAAGAAGAAAAGGTCAGTGTTTTAATATTTTTGCTATCTTGGCCCTGTTGTAAAGACAAAGAAAAGAAAACATTAAAACATGATGTGCTCTGGTTTTGTAAATCGATCACCTTAAAACGGCGGACTCCATGCATTTGATTCGTGGGTACGACAAGCCAAGGACCACTGAAACGGATATCCTAGTGCAAAATGCATGATGGAAGCCCTTGTGTTCTGTTGGCGTCAGGCAATTATGTGTAAAAAATAATGTACAGCTATAATAATAATCCATGAACATAAACCGAGATGATAGTGTGTAAAGCCTTCATTAGAGTTGTAGATTTGGTCAACCTAGCCGTGTCTTTCTTAAGGCTTTTGAAGAGTGGTGGTTGTTAGGAAAATAAATATTCCGTTGTACTTTGACATTATGTATGACATCACCATCATGGGACCTTTTCAAGAAGGGGTAAGTAGATCTCTGCTTGATAATGCTTTAGATCAGGGATCTCCAACCTTGGCAACTTTCAGACCTGTGGACTTCAACTCCCAGAATTCTCCAGCCAATCTGGGAGATGAAGTCCACAAGTCTCAAAAGCTGCCAAGGTTGGGCACCCCTGCTTAGATACAGAATAAGGTGTATAGAGCTTATACCACACTGGTGGACTTCAACTCCCAGAATTCCCATAGCTGGCTGAGAATTCTGGGAGTTGAAGTCCACAGGTCTGAAAGTTGCTACGGTTGGGCACCCCTGCTTAGATACAGAATAAAGTGTGTAGAGCTTAAACCCTATATCCAAAAGGCTGCGAGTTAATATCAACTCCTCCAGTATTGTACTGTCATGTCCTAAGGCTTAGATTTGTTTTGTCTGTGAACTTTTGTGTAACACAGTCTGTGCCCATTTCATTTAGCCATAGGAGGACTGACATTGTATTTGCTCTGACATTCTGGATTGAACCCTGCCACTTGATTGGTATCGGGAGAAGACAAATTAAGCTACCTTGATTGGTATTGAGACAAGACAAATTAAGCGACCTTGCTAATTAAGATAATGCACTGTGCTGTCCTCAATTGTTCTTTCCTTCATAGTCTTCGGTTTTCATTGTGCCTCAATTTTCTCATCCTGGGGTAGCGTTTTATTCATCCTAAGTTGTATGATGGTGACGTTTTTAATCACAGACCATATTTCACAACAGATTTTATTTATTCACACATTGAAAAGTTCTCTGAGTTCCTTTTTCCCCCCTCCCTGATATTTTATAAAGAATTTTGAAAATGAATGCTTCTATTAATGTCTTTTTTTCCCCTTTTTTATTTCCCTTTTAATATCAACTTTGCTATCTGCTGGAAAGGTGCAAGCTTTAAAACATTTCTTGGTCTTTTCTGATCAAGCTTTAGGGCGTCTCAGTAGAGGGAAATTTCTCATAAACCCATAAATTCAATGGGAATAATAAAACCAATGAGGATTAGAACGATTACTCGGAAAAATTATGAAATTAACTCATATTGGATCTAGATTAGTTTTAAACTGGCATGTTTTCTTAGAAAATGCATCTTAGAAGACTCTCTGCCCCAAAGAAAGATGTTCCAATATGGATTACTGAGAAATTTTTATTATAAAATGAGATTAATGCAATTGGTCAATATCCTAAGAATATAGAATCAGCTGTTTGGATGACATTCCTTGAATAACCATTAATGAATTACATTAATTAATTAATTACATTAATGAATTACAGAATTAATTGCAAGAGATCGCAATATTTCTATTATGCTGAATAATATTTTATTGTTTTGTTTGATGGCTTCCTTTGGGTTCAAATAAAACCGGTAAGACTAAAATCTGAAAACAGAATGCATTTTTTAAAATTCATTAAATATTTTCACAGAGGCATAGGAAATTGGAAATGCTTGTCATAAATTACATGAGGAAAAAGACTATTTTTCCCCACCCATTTTGGTAGCAAAAATAAATCTATGGATTCATTTTGCTTAAACAAATCCTTCCTTTAAGGAGCTAATATAAATTATCTCAGCCATATTTTTCTTTTTATACCTACGGAAAATCAGACTTATCTCAAATCAGAATAAATGCACTTCTAGGCCAATATTGTCTAATCTGACTGGCAGGAAATCAACAGGATTTTTTTTCAACAGCTAAATCTCGTGTTTTGGGTATATTATGAGCATATTTGAGACCTAGTGACTTTTCTGAAGGGTGAGTTACAATAATTATAATTTCCTGGATAGTCAGTGATAGGTTTATAAGCTTCTGGAGGCAAGTATCCAAGAGTTAGTCAGTTTGCTTGGAGATAAGCACAGTAGAAAGTCCTAAAAGATTCTGGATATCTGGTCACTCAGAGTAATTCTTTAATCTGCTATGTGAAAAGGGTTTTGAAGAGAGGGAAGACACACTCCTTCAGGATGCATGGAAATGACAGCCAATGACTTTGAAGTAATGTAACACAATAAATAAATAGACCCTCCTTATAGATGCTTCCTTTAAGAAAAAAACACTCCTCAGGTTAATGGTTTACTACAGAGATTGCTCTCACATGGTAGGAAGAATCCAATTTTGTCCATACAAATCCCTTCGTTGGAAAGTGGTAGATGTACTTTTACGGACATGTACGGGGTCTGTTCTAGGCTGTAAGTTCCTGCTCTGGTTTAGATATTAATGGAAGCGTCCTCAAATAGAGATTTGCTTAGCTATGGTTTTCTAGAACAATCACTTCTACCCAAGACGATTGAAATGAATAGCAGTGGTTAAGAAGGCCTGGGATCACAACTTTGTGAGAGGTTAGAAGTTAAAGTATTGGGGGGGGGGGGGTGTTCAGCAATGAAAGACTCTGAGTTTGTCAGCTGGAAAGCTTCCAGCCCAGGTTTGAGACCCAGGCACTGTGACTAGGGTGGGCTCCTGTTACCTGCTTCAGCTCCTAGCAGTTTGAAAGCACATAAATGCGAGTAGATAAATAGGTACCCCTTCAGTGGGAAGGTAACGGTGTTCCATGTCCCTTGGCGTATATTCATGCTGGCCACATGACCACGGAAAATGTCTTCGGACAACGCTGGCTCCCTTGAGCAAGAAATGGAGATGAGTAGTGCCCATTAGAGTCAGAAACGACTGGACAGGAGAAATCTTTACCTAGAAGTTATCATAAAACTAGTTAGTAATTTATGTTAGCTGACAATAGGGTAAAAAAAAGAAAAGGACAGGTTAGTTGAAACAGCTGGTGGATAATAAAACTCAATTTAGATGAGAAGCTATCTTGTTTGGTCCAATGGGACACCTTACGTCATGGGTTTTCAACCTTGGCAACTTTAAGACTTGTGGACTTCAACTCCCTGACGTTTCTGTTGCTAAGCAAGTGAGTTGGGCCCTACTTTATGATGTCTTTGCTGGGGAATTCTGGGGGTTGAAGTCCACAAGTCTTAAAAGTTGCCAAGGTTGAGGACCCCTGCCTTACATCAATTCCTTTTGAAGTTCTAAATAGGCAGCTTCCTTCATGGGAAATTTCTGGATGGAAATCTTGATGTTATGGTCTGGAACTATTTGTTGGGTGGGGGGCAGAGTGGTTCATACACATCCTTCCAGTTTCCCAACTATTATTTATTTGTGCACTGAATAGCCTGGTTAGAATGTAAATTATTTCAGTTTGGAAAGCTAGGCTACAGTTACTTTTTTTTATCTCACCATGGTACACCATCCCTTCCTCTTTTTTTTGCCATTGCTTTACATGAAGAGTAGCTGAACCGATCAGAATTCATCACTAGAACCAAAGCTGAATAGATAACAAACTGGATGTCTATGGAGACATCCTCAGTCATCCAGGTCATCCAAAGGTGCTTTTTTTCAGGAGGCAACTGGACTTCCTTTGTTTTTTCTTGAAGACGTTTTGCGTCGCATCCAAGAAGCTTCTTCAGTTCTGACTGAATGGTGGAGAATGGAAGGTTTTATATTCTTTGCAGTCATCTAGTCTTTAGCATTCTTCTCTGAGAGTTGTTGAGGTCGCCTGGAGGTTTATCCAGGCCCTCAAGAGTCACCCGAATAGTGCAAATCAATGTGGAATTTCCTTGGAACTGCTGAAAGGACTGTGTTGTAACACTCATTGTTAACATTTGCTTGACATGTCTTCAACCAAATAAAGCAAGTCCAGCAGCCTTTGAAAAGAATGCACCGTTGGGATAACAAACTGGAGTAGTCCAGCATCTATAACCACCATTTGAAATTGCTTTCGGACTGTGGTTTCATCCATTTTATGCCTTGTTAGGATGTCATGGAAAGCTAGGATCAGGAAGTTTTCAACCGTTGTATGGCAAGGAAGAAAGGAATAGCGTGCTGGACCAAGCTTTGCATGCTGAAACACGTTGCATCCGAACCTGGCTGTTAACTGGCTTTATCAAAATGTTCTGGCCGAATTGTGGCTGGTCTTCAGCTGCAGAGCCATCAAAGCAACAGAGGATAGTCACATTCTTCAAGTTTTATTTACAGGAATAAATGAATATTTGAATGCAGTACTTCCTAAAGTTTTTTAAAAAACCACACAAAACATTCTCATCTACCACACTGTTGTCAATATTGTAACCCTCATGTCTCAGACAGACTGTGGCTTTGTACCATATTGTATTTATTCCATTCAGAATTTCATTTTTCTCCTCTTAATTTTTTTTATTTCAGACTCTGTGTATATTGACATTAAAGTTTGCATTGTACTACATGTTTTACCGGGGCATCCAGTATTATATTGAAAAAAACCTTGTTTAATTCTGCTGCTAAAATTAGTGCAGTGTGTCCTTTCCTCCTCCCCCCCTCTCTCTTTTCCTTCCTTCCTTCCTTCCTTCCTTCCTTCCTTCCTTCCTTCCTTCCTTCCTTCCTTCCTTCCTTCCTTCCTTCCTTTCTTTCTTTCTTTCTTTCTTTCTTCCCTACTTTCCTTAATTTCTACATAAACCAAAGACAACATAGGAGAACGTGGAACAGGCTGTGTGGCATGTGAAAGCTTGTGAGACATGTCTTTAAAAAAAAAAGATCCATGTGTACTAGAATAAAAAAAAAGTGAATCCATAAAGTTTCAATTCGACAACGTTTTGATTGTTCTGAGGTCTTTAAAGCAAAGGGTTTTTTTTCCCCCTTTCTAATAATTTATTTTTATTTATAACCTGCTTCCTAAGTATTCATTCTTACCTTTTTACAACCATAAATACAAAAATAAGACATAATAAAAGTAAACTCAATACCATAGAGTGCCATTATAAAACCTAGGTCCTGCAACAATGGGAAAGGGGCATCTTAAAATAATGCCATGCTGGTTTCGTTAATTTGGAAACTGGGAGATGAAAGCAGTTGACAGCTTTCAAAATCAGTTTTTTTTAAAAAAGGCAGTATTGGAGATATACAGGTCCTCAACGTGGACCACTGTTGAGCCCAACATTTATGTTGCTAAGCGAGAAACCAAGGGAGTTTTGCCCCATTTTACGACTTTTCTTGCCACATTTGTTAAGTGGATC